ATGGATATTTTTTGCTGTTTTTTAAATTAAATAGGCAGCTAATATTGTTTTTTAAAATTATTATGAAGAACAAGTTTAAGCTTCATTGTAACATACGTTGTTTGCTTGGACTGCTCAAGACCTGAATGCTTGTGTAGAAGGAACTCTGAGTTGGCTTGTTAAATACCTTCATGCTGTTTCACATCTGATACTCCTGGGTGAAACATAGAAGCCTTGTCTTATAACAGGCTTATTCAAAGTGATACGAGCTACAAAAGTGATATCTTGGAAGAATGTTGCCGTTTTCATAATGTAATAAAAATACTGTCATGATCAATAATAATAATAAATATTGTGCAATAAGCATATCATAACAAATTTATATTTCCAAGATCAGTGCTTTTATAATTTATACGCCGGTAAAGGAGAAAATCCCTGGAAATATTTTTTTAGGAGGGGGTTCACGAGACCTGACATTTTAGTGAAAGGGATTCACAGGTTGTTGAAGTTTGGGAACCACTGCTCTATGTCCACATGGGAGGAGGGTGGGGAAGGGGGTTAGTCTGGTTAATGGATTGCCTGTGATCTCAGCAGGAGCACAGCAGCGCTCCTCCCCTGAGCATTCAGGGGTCCTGGGGTCTTTGGTGGCTGGGGTCCTTATGCTACGCATCTTCAGGGCACTTCGGCAGCGGGTCCTGGAGCGGGTGAAGGACCCGCCGCCGAATTTCCGCCGAAGATCTGGAACGGAAGGACACCGCACCGCCGAATTTCCACTGAGGGCGGCAAAATGCCGCCCCCCCCAAATCCTGCCGCCCATGGCGACTGGCTAGGGTCGCTTAGTGGAAGAGCCGGCCCTGGATCTCAGGGTAGTTGACACCTGTGCAAAGGGCTTCTGGAGATTTCACAAATGTATGGCGAGGCCCAGCCTGCCCCTTACAAGAGTCCCAGCCACCTGGAGTTCAGGCAGTCACTTTTAACTCCAGATAAAAGTCTCTAATAAAGACCAAAGTGCGAGAGATCCTTGCTCTCTCACAAAATGCTTTGCACCACGACTCTAACGCCCACAGCACTAAACACAAGACAAGCCTGGCCCTGGCCTCCTCACCCCAGAACGCTGCCCAGCCCGCGTTCCCCAAAGGCAGCTGCGGGTGCAGCGAGTATGGAACAGCCCCCAAGCTGCTGGATGCCCACACGCGGCGGGAGCCGGCCCCCGTTTCACTAGCGGGAGCAGGCCGGCGACGAGCAGCTCCAGCGCGGGAGGGGATTAGCAATACCCCTCCTTGGGGTGAGCAGCCAGTGTGAAAATCGGGATAGCGGCGAGGGATAAAAGGCGCCTATACGAAAAAAAACCCCACGAACATCAGGACTGACCCTCCCCCCCCCGGCATCTTAGCAACCACCCCTGGGCGCCCGAGGCGGGAAGGGAGGAGCACAAGGAGCCCCGAACTCCAAGCGTGTGCACGGCCTCTCCCCCTCGCGGCCTGGCTCGTGCTCGCTGGGGCCGGGGAAACGGACGCCGCGTGCGGTCTCACGCCAAAGGCCCAGCCGGGGCCCTCGCGACTCGCCCGCTCCCCCGGCAAATGAGCCTTAGCGACCGTTATAGCCACCTCCCGCCACAAGGCGCCTCATTGCTTCTCCCTCCCACTTCCCCCCCGAGAGGCGCCTTCCCAAAGGGGCCGCCCTGTCTCTTACTCGGGCTCCCGCAGCACAGACTCCACCGCGGCGGCCATTTTGAACTTCCAAACTCCTTCGCTGCTGCTGGTGAGACGGGGCCGCAGCGCATGCGCGATGGAGCGCCAAGGGTCGAGGCGAGGAAACGCACCAGCTCGGCGACCACCGGAAACGAACCTCACCCTCCAGCGAGGGAGTAAGTTACTTCCGGTGGATCTTTGTCTAGGGAGCGTCTTTAAAGAGCCACCTCCAGGCCCAGCAGCGCAATCCCAGAACAAGTGGTTGGGGAAGGGAGTCTTAGCCAGTCCCCGAGACTCAAGCGATCTGTACGCGGCGCCGTGACACTGGCAGCTGCATGGGGCGGGCGCACCCAGCGTTTGAGAGGTGGGTGGATGATGGTGGCGGAGGGGACAGGAAATTTGGGGTGATTATAGAACAAAGGGGAGCGGGTGAAAGGCAGGTGCTCAGGACTTCTTGGGATGTATGGCCCCTAGATGTCACGCCAAATAAGAAATGGGATACTAAACTCTGAAAACCGGAGTACAACCAAAAACTACCAAGGTTGCCTGAATTTGTGGACATATGGAGTTAATTTAAGTAAAAGAGAAACTGCCAGGGAGCCTAGGGCCAAAGTACAGACATTGTCAGGGCCGGCTCCAGGCACGAGCCCAGCAAGCAGGTGCTTGGGGCGGCCATCGGAGAGGGGTGGCACGACCGCTGCTGCTGAATTGCTGCTGAAGACTGAAGCGGCGGCGGTAGAGATCGTGAATGCGGCTTTTTTTTTTTTTGGCTGCTTGGGGCGGCAAAAACCCTGGAGCCGGCCCTGGACTGTGGCTATTGTTGAATTATGTTTTATAAAACTTAATAGCTCATAAACAAAATTTCATCGTTTATTGTTTTAATGTCAGAGCAGGCTTAGATGAGCATCTGCAACCCAGATACTCAAGGCATTTGCAGCCTTGCCCTAATGTATTAGAAGAAGACAATGAGGCTATGTCAACACTATCACTTTTGTTGATATAACTTATGTCACTCAGAGGTGTGAAAAAAATGCACTGAGTTACACAAACAGAAGTGCCAGTGTGGACAGCGCTATGTAAGTGTGACACACTCTCCTGCTGACATACCTACCATGGCTTGTTGGAGGTGGTTTAATTATGTCAATGGCCATGGGAGAGCTCTTTCCCGTCGACCTAGAGTGGCTACACAAGCGATCTTACAGCAATGCAGCTGCATCCGTACAGCTGTGCCACTGTAAGCTCTCTAGTGTAGATATGGCCCTAAACTGAGTAGGAAGTCTTGCAAGATTGTCATGAAAATCTAGCAGCTAGTGATAATATTTGGGGGTGTGAATTATATTTTGCAGACATTTTTTAAAATAAATTATTCTGGATGGGAAAGGGAGACTTTTGTCAGCTGGAAAACAAAAATGAACCCCAGGTGTCTGGTTTCAGAGTAGCAGCCGTGTTAGTCTGTATCCGCAAAAAGAACAGGAGTACTTGTGGCACCTTAGAGACTAACAAATTTATTAAAGCATAAGCTTTCGTGGACT